GTACCAACTCTCCAAAAAGAGTTAAATTAACACTCTCTGGTGTGGACCCATATAGACACTTTAATAGTGTTGAAATCAAATCTGACAGTGTTAATTTGGACATGCTGGATTTGCTGTGTAGTTTATTTTCTTACTACCTGTAATTTATTGCAGATTACTTTTGTTTGCTTAATTGTTTACTAAATGTTTGAGGTGCGAAAGAAACCACAATGGAGCAAAATATGGGTGTGTGTGGTTGGAGGATGTGTTTGTATGTGTGCGTGTGCACGTGCGAGAAGGGGGCGCGAACATTTTTCTTGTAAAACAAAGGGGGGCCTAGCAAAAAAAGTTTGGGAACCACTGAATTAACAAAACAATTATTAAAAAGTAATAATAATCCAACAACTGAAGGAAGAAAATAAACGGAAGTCTGAGTTTGGAATGGAAGGTTAAAGTATTTAAAACATTTTGTCATAGAAAAGAGCAACATTTGTTTGTATAACCTTTTTAGAACTTTGTTGTTCATTGTTATTTGTTGACATTCATCAGTTAAGTTCTTATCCAAATATAAAAAACAGAAACAGGCTTCAGTGTGATGATAATATGCTGTTGGACAGCGATGTACATCTACCAGTTTCCCTACAATGACTCACCTTTGGAACAGTCTAGGTATGATCAAGCCTTTCCAAAGGACTGTTGGACATTTACATTGTCTCCTACAGAATATATAAATGACATTGTTAATGTAGAAAGTGGAGTTACCATATGAATGTATTTTTACCATTTGAATCACTCAAAGCTTCCTTATGACTGTTGGAGGTGGTGAGTAGAGCCATTCCCATTAGGTTACTGGATTTAAGTCTTTTAGTAAATTCACCAATTACTACACCTTCTATAGTCTTTATCAACTACACCACCAGCTCATTAAGCTCAAAAACCTGCTTCATAGTTAAGCCACAGAGAGACTCTACGAATTGACTCTGCTTTTTGAACAGTTACACAACAAACTGACACAACTCTGTGTCAGTTCTGTGCTATCTTTCATGACCTGAGCATTGTGCTTTTGATGTCTTACTGATCAAACCAAAGACTGTCATGTAGAGCTTTTTAGTTTTCCTCTCACACACTTTTCTTTTTGTTCTCATTCTGTCACTGTCATGAGTGTGTCTGAACAAAGCTTTCAAAGCATTCGTACAAACTTGAGCCATGTCTGAATCACTGACTGATGAATCATGAAGTAACATTGCGTATACCACATCTGAAATACTCCCTTTTTAGTCTGGAAAGAAATGATTCATTCCACTGATCATTGTTCAGAATTGCTCCACTTCAAACACGAATAATACCAGTCACAGTTTCTTTCCAAAAGATGTGTTCCTGTGATAAACTGACTTTATTTCCTGCTTGGTAAGTTTGTCTCTCAGCATTCAACGTCAAAGCAGCAAATGCAGTTTGTTCACCTACTAAAAAATTACTGAAACAAATAAATTTTCAGCTATCTCTTTAGATCTCTAATCTAAATGCCCAAAATGACAAAAACAAATTTTCTTTTACAGTCACCGGCTGTTGTGTCAAATGTACATAAAGATTGATTGCAGAGATTTGCATATCATTTATATTGATATTTATTATATTTATTTATATTTATTTATCAATATATTTATGCATATCATTTACCTTAACCTTAACTCAAAGGGCAAGAGCGTGAATGGAGCTGTATCATGAACCTGTATCATCAGAGCAACGTTGCTTGCTTCTGCATCACTGAATCCTTTTTTCTGTTAGTGAAATCCAGCTTGCGGGGCTTCACGTAGCAACAATATCTTTTTCCCCCTAAAAAGAAGTTGCATAAATTTAGCCTACAGCTAATAAAGCACCTAAATACCTCTACAGCTACATGTAAATTTAAATGTTTGATGATGTGGAGTTTTATTCATTCTCCATTTTCAAAGTAAGAAGCAATGATACCTTAAATTGCATTTTAAGTTGTTTTATGATTGTGCCCACATTCAAAGGAAATGATTATCATGCTCTATTATGCACCTTAATTTGTATTTATACAATTGCGTGGAATGAGTTCTGAGTTGAGTGTTTTTTAATGGCCAAAAAGTATTTAAATAAATAAACTGAGAGTTAAATTTGTCTTGTCTATTTCTTTTTTTGGTGATTCGCGACTCAAAACCGTGATCCGAACCCAACCATGAGTTTTTTGATCCGTTGCACTACCAGTATTGACTGTAATACGTTTTAACATGCACAAAAGACACTAATGAAACATGGAGCTTGCACTCTCTGATTTGTTGTGAACAGAAATAACTATTTTTTCACAAAACCAATTGACACTGTGTTAATCACTATTACAACTAAAAGATTGGATTGGATTTATAGAGCACTTTTCGAGAACCTCAGAGCACTTTACAATTCCACTATTCATTCACTCTCACATCCACACACTGGAGAAGGCAAGCCACAATTGTATCCACAGCTGCTCTGGGGCAGACGGACAGAAGCTAGGCTGCCATATCGCGCCATCGGCCCGTCTGGCCAACACCAGTAGACGGCAGGTGAAGGATCTTGCCCAAGGACATAATGACCGAGACCGAAAAGGCAGGTGATCGAACCGGCAACCTTCCAGTTACAAGATGAGCTTCCCAACCCCCTGAACCACGGTCGCCCCCCAAAGGATGAAATTAAAAACAAATCTGTGAAAAAGGTTTTGACATATGTTTGTTGTTGTTTTGACAAATTCAAAACAACTTTGTTTAAATATCCTTAAAAATATACTTGTGCTTCTTACAGGTGGTTTAGACAGCTGGATTCGGTGAAATCCCCATCTGACTGTAATCTTTGAAAGACGTTTCCTCATTCCAGGTAATTTTCTGGTTTACAAACTGAATCAGTTTCTGTTTGTGGAAAAAAACACATCAGACAAAAGGACAGAGAGTGAAAGAGAGGCTGTCTTTGGAAGTACATGTATTCGTGTTCTCAGTGATTTCTGCCTTTGTGCAGAGACACACACTTTCATCATGTTGCTCTCTGAGACATCGTTGGTGCTGCTGATGGTTTGCGGCACTCAGGCTTCACATTTTTTAGGCACAGTCATGACCTACTACCCAAAGGACACTTTTGCAGATGGATCTGTCACGGTATGTACATTTTCTTTCTTAAAATAATGTACTTACTTTTAAAAATCTTACAAGAACTAAGTGAACACTTTGTGGCTGTAAATTTAAAGGTGACCCTTCGGTATAAGTTGAACTTCCACGACTGCATATATGATACCACATGGAGTTGCCTCAGTGGTGATTGTGGGACTGGAACCTACACACTACATGTGGTAAAACAGGAGAGCAGTGGAGACTGGTGTCAGAGAGAGGGAATCATGACTCGACAGGTTTCCAGCAACGCTCCGTTTGAACTTTGGTGAGTATACAACAGGAAAAAGTCATTTGTAAAAACTTTTTTAAATTCTCAGTGATGGGCAACAAAACCAAACAAAACCACTTTCCCCCAAAATGTCAACGGCTCAACAAAAAATAATGTTTTCGAGAAGTGAAGAATTATGTTAATGATCAGCTCTGCTGTATTGGTGGCTCATGATTAACTAATAACTTATTAAAACATGTTTTGTTCAGACTTTAAAAACTGAATTTCTGATCAATTTCCACTGAAGGTTGGGTGGTGGTAACTGGATATCAAGCATCAATAACATCATATCATTGAGAGCTGTGACTCGGGTAGAACTGAGGTACCGGTCCGACACCGGCAAAGCCAACACATCACCTCAGACCACCATCCTACCAGCTGTGGGGTAAGCCCACTTTATGTGTGTCTGTGTTTGCCTAGTTTTCTTTTATAGTTCATATTTTACATTCATCCCTTTCATATTAAAATGTATTTAACAAAGTATTTATCACCTGTTTGTTATATTAAAATACAGCAAATAGAGCTACAATCTTTGTTTCTCTCTCAGAGTTCCTTCAAACTGTCAGAGAGATTTCAGCCTGTTGATGTTTGACCCTGATGGAGACGAAGTTAAATGCAGATATGGAAACTCTGCACTCTCAGAGTGTAACCCCTGCACTCCACCGTCTGTCCTCAGCCTCTCATCGGTGAGCAATGACTGTTACTCTCATGTCAGATGAGACAGGCAAAGACTAAAAGCTGGCACAGACAGTCACGCAATAATGTGATGGGAATTTTTTAATTGAATTACAATTGATCTAAATTTTGTAGAAGTGAAAGTTTATCCAAAACAAGTGTTGTTTCTACATTTTTATATCCTTGAATTGAAAATGTTTTCTGCAACAGAAAACATTTTGGTTATTTTGACTTCAAGCCCATTTTCGTCCTCTTGCAGTCCTCTTGTACTCTGTCATTCAGCCCCACCAGCAGCAGTAATGAAGGTTCATATGTAGTACAGCTGGTGATGGAGGACTTCCCCAGACAGACCATCACTCTGACTCAAACCAACGGGACACAAACAACAATAACTACCAATGATGCCATCAGCAAAATACCGATTCAGTTTGCTTTGAAAGGTACCAATATACGTTTCATTATCTTACAATGAAAGCACTAAAGAGCTGCTGCTGATGAACTTAGTGCTCGGCCTGATGTACAGAGATGTTTGACCACCAGTGT